GAGTGGCTCCAGCAGATCCCGGGAACAACATCGGAGATCTCTGTCCAGAAGAGCGCAGTCCTGGGAACAGCTAAGATAGATATATATATATATATATATACATACATGTGTGTGAGTGTTAATAACGGATTGATCCTTGAAACACGCACATCAGCCGTAGCAAACAGAGATACACACGTGCATGCTTGTGGATGTCCACACGGTGCCTTATATGCTCCTACACACACACACACACACACACACTCAACTAAATCCCAGCACACAACCTAAGGCATGTCAGGAGTCCTAATGACCTACGCCGTGTGTTTGCAAGGGTGTAAAAGTGTGTTATGAATTAGAAAGAGGAGAGGCAGAAGATGAACTAACGATGGCTGCTAATAATTACAGATCTGTAGCGTGGAGGAGTTAATGAGGAGCCAAAGCCTCCCATGATGCTCCAGTAATAATGAATGAGGAGTGAGAGAGTGGAAAGAGGGAGAGACAGAGAGAAGGGTGGGAGATGTCAGTTTGAGAGGCTGCAATGCCCTTTGGTTTCTCTGCACTCTGGGCATGCCAACGAGAGAGCCTTCCCAGAGGAGACTTGTCTCCACACTAATGAAGATGTGACAGACCTCCGGTCCGTGACTTGCAGGGTATAGGGAAGAGTGGAAGGAGGATGAGGAAGCAAAGAGTGACAGCTCATATAAAATGAAAGGCGCTGAAAAGGTGAAAGGTTTGCAAGACCTTCAAAAAGACTGAGACATTGTCAGTAGCAAAACTTATTAGACTGATAGGTGGTGTTTTTCAATTGGTTTATATGTCAGCAAAAGACATTGGGAAACTTGAAATTATATTTAGATAAGCGCTACGCGAATAACAGTTTCCCCATGACACTCAGACAAAGTAAAACACAATTATTACCCACCAGAGAGCTGGTGTAGCTGGGATCAGACGTGTCATCCTGCAGGTAGCGTGACAGACCAAAGTCGGACACTTTACACACCAAGTTGCTGTTGACGAGAATGTTCCGTGCGGCCAGGTCACGATGGACGTAGTTCATTTCTGAGAGATATTTCATTCCTGCAGAAATCCCACGCATCATTCCCACCAACTGGATCACTGTGAACTGACCATCATTTTGCTAAAGGACAGAGAGCAAAACAAATGAAAATGCAGAGCTTATGTCATGCCGTTGCCATGCTGTAAATGAGCAAAGCTGGAGGTCGCAGATTGCAGCAAAGGCTAATATAACCATTTTTAATAGGCAAAAAAATAATTACGCTGTTTCTTCTTACTGAATCATTAACACATGTTGACTTAAATTCATCACTCCACTTCCTCATTCAACGTGTACCGTAATCAAATTCGGTTTGAGTCAAGGCTGCTCAGTTGGATTCTCATCTTCTTCTGTAGCATGAGGTAAGCCTTGCAGCAGATCATTATTATCACAGCCATGGGGTACATGCTCATGGCAGATAACAAGAGGAGTCATGTTGTTATAGCTACATACAAGACCCTTATTTTGAGTTATCTTTGATTTTAGTTTTTCTTGTGCGTCCTTTTTTTTCTTGTTTGTTGGTTACACTTTGCAATTACAAAATCAACACACTGAGTCCCTGTCTTGCCTTTCAAATCCTTTTAATGTCCAGAGGAAGAGTATATTTGTATTAAATAAGCAAATCAGATTCCTGCAGCCAATCTTACTCAGTGTAGGTGTTAGAGCATTGTTCCATTCAAGCATACAGGCATCCATCTCTTTAAACTCCAAGAATGGTGCCCCTACCCCTGTGTGAATGCTCTGAAGAGCAAGCTTTGAACCCCAGAAACCCAGTAACAAATAAGAGGGTAAGAGAGATCGATGGAAACACAAGTCGGATGTGGCGGTTAGCAAAGCCAACTTCAAAGAACCCATTTAAACCCACCCTAGATCAAAGTGGAATAGAACACCAATCCATGAGACTGAAGCAGGAAAAAAGAGAGCTGAATATTGATTAAGCTGTATGTCCGCTCAATCCTGACTATAAAAGAAAGAGTGAAGAGTCCATTAATAGCTCCAGGCATTAAATTAAAGGCTGATAAAGCTAGCCAGTGTGGAAATTTTCAAATTAAGAATGACTGAAATCAAGTTCATTGTCATGAAACATATTCTCCGTTGGCACTGGACAGATTAAGAAGGCTCATTCCAATTTGTATTAGGAGGGATTCTTAGCATGAACTCCTTTAGTGGGATTGCTTTACAATTTACTTCCAATTAGCTTCTCAGTCTCAGATTTTCAAGCTTCCATTTAACTCACACATGGCTTCAGATCTCGTCATATAGCTGTTTGCAACTTTGTGTGACACAGTACAAGCATTAAAAAAAAAAAAAATCACTCACCCTGAGGAATGAGTCAAGGGCGCCATTCTCCATAAACTCAGTAACGATCATAACTGGACGGCTCTTTGTGACTACACCCTCAAGACGGATAATGTTCGGGTGGTCAAACTGGCCCATGATTGATGCTTCAGACAGGAAGTCCCGCCTCTGCTTCTCCACATAGCCCGCCTTCAAGGTCTTAATGGCTACATAGATTTCCCTCTTGCCAGGTAGCTTCAAACGGCCCTTGTAGACTTCCCCAAATTCCCCTAGTTTGAAAGAGAAAGAAGAGTTTCCTCATTTCCTTCTGTTAGCAGAAAAAGCCTTTACACAAAAGCAGAGTTAATCAGATCATAAATTTCACGTCTGTTTTTAAAGTTACCTAAAGTGCTTTTATAGAGCCTGTTATGTCTTGCTATCATATAATACAGTATGGCTCTTCTGACACACAGCATAGGCTGGCAAGTGCCTTTATATTCCCCCTATCAAACAATACCAGGCAAGCACTGTCTGGCAAATTTCTGGAACCCATGTGATTAATTATCACCACCTTGGTGTCCTGGAGAGACAACACATAGTGAAATCAACAAAAACAAAAACCTTTAATTAGCTGATCCCACTGCATCCTTATCCCTATTGTATCTCTGTCACTTCCTCACACCTAGCTTGCTGAGGCCGCCTGTGCTCCAAAGCTACTCCAGGCCCAGCAACATTACCAGGGGTATTTTAGCCTCCATATGAACCAGCATGTATGATGTCAGTGTCCTCTCGGCTGTAGAAAAGATGTGTTCGATCCCAAAGAAAGGGACATGTACCAAAAACACATGCACATACTGAACTTAAGTTTAATCAGAATTCACTTGAAAGCAATCAGGACCTAATTATGTAGTTGTAATTTTAATATACAGTTTAATAATACATAAGAGGTCATTCTCAAGCTAAGAAAAACAAAACAAAACAAGAAAGCAAGGACAGGAAACAAAATGTCTGCACTTTTACATGTAAAGTAAATGGGGAAGAAATGATGCAAGGGCTGAACATCATCAAAGCCAAAATCAACAAGATCCAAAAACACAGAAGCACAAAGAAAAGGCAGAGAGGGTTGAGTTATTTCTAATCACATTATGTCCCTGGGTAGGTGGCCTATATACTGCTAGTACACTTGACATAGGCCCTTGACATGTTCCCATCTGAAGTGGCTGCCAGAAAGGTTGTTCTTCATGACCTTGAACAGATTCAGGTTTTTATATGACATACAACAACTCAACAATCCACATTTATCTGACACACAGACACAGAATACAAATGCATGCATGCACGAAGATTTGCCATACCTGCACCAATGACCTCCTCTATTTTGACAGTAGAAACATCTATCTCCTTGGCAAATTCTCGTACAGCTTCGTTTGGGTCCTCGTAGGTGAAGGGGTCAATGTAGATCTTCATCCCCGGAGAGCCTGAGAAGTGGGTCGGGCAGCCCAGTGGGGAGGGGCAGTTAGACATGTCGGCTCGCAATGAGAGTTCTAGAACAACCAAAGTGCTCAGTGAGCTTTCCAGAAGATGAAACTAGTCTTTTGGGGTCTTGAGCTAAAGGTTGGTGAATTCAAATAACCCCAAAGTGTTAGCTTAAATCACAGAGTCACAGCATTACTTATAATCACTATAAACTTTTGATCGCTACAAATGATGATACCTTCATTTGCTCTATTATCCATGCTTAGAGACGGGCCAAAGCACGGCAATGTGTAAATTAAAATGAACGTGTACTGAACACATCAAAGAGTGTAGGTGGAGAATTAAAGGAACTGGCTCCAAAACATGTAGAGGCAGACAACAAAATGGTGGTGATTCAGTGCTTACGAGAGGAAAAGAGCTAGAGAGAGAGAGAACGAGACAGAGAGACAAAGAGAGGGAGGGAGATTAAGGGATAAAGGAACAGATGAGGGAATATAGAAAGAGTAAATGTAGACTTTTTTTTCACCCCTTTATCCCTTACCCTAGCAGTATCTGCTCTTTGATAGTGGTAGAACCAATTTTCCTGCAATCTTTCCCTATAGGAGCTCATAAAGAGATAAAGCCGCTACGCTATCAACTAGCTTTTTATGCCACTCTACAGTAGGTGAGACCAGTTCACAGACTGGCGATGTTTGCAAAAAAAGAAGTACAGCTTTTCTTTGCCGACAGGCTAAGTAAAACACTTGTAAACAAATTCAATATGCTGCCACAAGATGGACAGCGAGCAAGTAGACTTCAAATCATCATTTTTGCAGCTACACCCAAGGGCAGCCTTCTTTCTCAGAGCTGTTTAGGCAAAATCTTTGCAGCCATGATTGGAATAAACCCATCTCCATCAAGTCAATTTGTGCCTAGCCCTTTGCATAAGCCACAGAGAAGGAGGGAGGAGTCTCAGGAGACAAAAAGAGAATAGGGTCTAGTCCTGGGATCAAGGTGCCTCACCTTGCTCTTGACTAAAAGCTGATTCTAGTTACCACACTAATTGCTTTGAACCCTGTCTGTGTGAGTGTAATTGCTCATTAGAGATTCCATACAGACTGGATTCAAGTTAATCCATCAGAGGGTTTACAGCTTTGCATTCCATAAAGTCATTCGATTTACAAATGTCGCCAAGCTGCTCACTTAGCGGCACCACTGGGTAGGACTCAAAATCTCAGTGGGGAGCACGCAACAGCAAGCTTATGGCAGCACGCTCACACTCAAAATCTCAAGCTCTTGTGTGCACATACCTCCAAAATAAATGTACAGCCATTACTTTCTAATTCACAGTCCATAGCCCATTTTTATGTATAATTTAAAATGCAAACAGTTTATCGTCCTCCCTGTGGCACAGCCCTGGTTAACTGGACTCGTCTTTTTATGGCCACTGGATAAAAAATAGATTCCTACTTTAATATTTCATAGGCTCTCCATCTGAGAGTACGAAGCAAATGTATCCAGAAGTCATTTCTATTTTGGACCAACATATAAAACAACAACTCTGTCAGGAAAGAATCCAAGGCTGCCACAGTGGCTCACGGACACGTGCGTACCACAACAGATATAAAGCTTAGATTAATATAATAAATTAGAACAAAGTTTATGACATAATTGTCCAAACGGTTAAGTGTACTCAGACAAATTTCCACTCTGGTGGACAATAAAGTTGATTCTATTCATTTCTATTAGCTGGCAGGCGTAATAAGTTACAGTGTACTGCAATGCACTTAACCATGTTATTTTCACCAATGTCCAAAATTTAGCCTGCTATTAGTCTGTCCCGGTCGTTTACGTAATGGTCCTAATGTATCCACAAATCAACTGCAGAGCCGTAATGCTTACATTAATCTATTACTGGCAATGGCTACAATCAGATTACTGGTTTTACTACAAACACTTTATATATTGCCCAAAGACAAACAAAAATGTCTGCGAATGAAATAGTAGCTCCATAAATGCTCATCTTTTTAAGTTAAAAGGGAATGTTTCATACATTAGCCTGTCACCAAGGAAACATAATTTCTTCTAATTCCCTTTGCCTGACAATATTTGTGATTTCACTATATAGCATTTAAATACTTTATGTGATTTATGTGCAGAGCAATATATCCCTAGAGTGTTTTATGTAGGTCTAAGATGCACACTAATCTACTCCGTGGCTCTAAATATAATGAGCTGCATTTCCGTCCTGAATATTAACTAATTATCCATTGTTTGATGTCAGAAACGTATTTGTCAAACACACACTTATTATTTATTGGGGCTTATTAGTATGCACATAAGAGATGTACATTTTGTATGGAGTCACTAAAAAAAGAAAGTGAAATGTTTGTGGGGATTTTTTTCAGGCCTTTTGCAACTCTTTTGGTTTTCCTTGAAAAGTTTGAAAAGTGATGAAAGGTTCACCCTGTTAATTATAATATTTTAACATATTTAGGATGAAGAGTGAACTTGCACATATAAAGGAAATATGCAAGAAAAAAAAAGGAGTATAAGCATATTTTATATCCACCCATAATTAACTAGTTCTTTTCAGTGAGTTTCCATTGTCATCGGGTGTGAGCACCAGATGTTGAAGCGCAAATAACATCTGCAGCTACGGGGCAACAAGTACGGTCTGAACATTTGTAATTTAAAATTTGTTGGTAGTCATGTGGAAACATGAGGGCACAACACAGACATTTAGTACTTAGAAATGTCTGTTAATTTGTTTAGATGGGTTGTCGGTGTGAGTTAAAGGCTAAAAGGAAATGTTTCCCTGAGAGAATCTGCAAATACTTAGTGCATGGACCTGAGTGCATGGCAGTGCAGTAATGAACTTCTATGATTCCTTCACTTTTTATATACTGTTATAGATTTAATTAGGAGATAAAAGTATAGAATTCTAATGTTTATTCTACGCTTGGTAACTCCCAATAATGCTGTGAAGACATGTTTTTAGGAATATGTGCAAAAGGAGTACATGAAGTCCTAGTAGCACACTTAATGTCAGGACAGAAGCTGAACCATGGAGTCACAGGAACACAGCAGGCCCCTGTGACAAAACTGTGGCTAGACATATGTGGAGGCAAATATCAACCCATTTTTAAATCTGAGTGCTCCAAGGAACACAGTGGCCTTAATAATCATGAAATTGAATAATTTTGGAACCAGCAAGATTATTCTTAGAAATGTCTGACCAAACTGAGACAGAGGGAGAAGGGCCTTATTCAGAAAGAACCCACTGATCAATCAAGCAGAGGCTTGGAGGTCTGCTGCAGATAAGAAACCTGGGAAACCTGCTGTAGGATCATCATCTCAGTAGAAGCACTGAGATCATGTCTTTAGGTCTTGGGGGCTGAAAAGAAGCCAGTCTGAGTCTAAGCCATATGACAGCTGCTTTGAGATTATTGAACATCAGTTAAATGCATCCAGCAGCATCAGGAATAAGTTTATCTCATCTGATGAGACAGAAATTGAACTCAGTGGGTAGAACTCCAAGCACTATGGCATGATTTCCTGTCTAATAACATGTCTATGGCTATGGAGATAACAACACGGTGCTGTGTGGTGGCTTCTTGGGAACTGTTATAGGAACGCTGGTCTGAATGGAAGAAAGGAAGAATAAGTATGAGTCAAATTAGAATAAAAAAATGCAAACCATGAGTAGCCCAGCCAAAGGTCATACTTAGACAAAATAGAACTTTGTGGAGAGGCCTGATGATGGCAGTTCACAGATGCAATCCAACCTTTCAAACTGCCCAAAAACACAGGTTAATAAATATTTTAGCAACTTAATCAGGAATGATCTTTTGATTGTTTTGAAAGAGAAAACTGCAAAATAGTTTTAACCATTGAATAAATCCACTTAATTAACTTAAACAGTGTACACAGTGATGATACTGTACATGACAACAACCACTGAATCTGATGGGGTGATTGCTTTAAGCCACAGCAGCAGCATTTGACTTGTGTTCACATGAACATCACAAGCAGGAGTTGGTGTAATGTTAAAGGTCTGATTTCTTGCATAAGCATGACCATCAGGCTGCACCACTGAATTTACAGTATTAGCAACGTCTGTCTTGAGGTGGGCTGCAAATGAGGCGATATTATGAGGCAACATCTGGAGGAGCTGACAGCTGGGTGAAAGCTGGCAGGCACATTTTTTTGGAGGATCACCCAAAGCAATTGTTTGAGTTGGTCTATTTTATTGCTGCACTGAATACTGCAATTACAAAACTGCCAGTCAAACCTTGACAGAAAGGCAAAAAACAACAATGCATCACAGGGTGGGGAAAAACCTCGTGTGCGTTGGCATTGTGAAGGTTTCCTTATTAGCATTTGATTTTGTATCCACCTTAGATCCTTAATTTGATAATTAAGGCCGCAAACAACTGTTATCTTTTATTTTCATGACTTATGTTAATTACAGTGCATCCCTGACTGTGGCAAAACTGACTCCTCTGTCCAGAGCAGTTTTAATAAGCCCCAAGCTACCATTCTCGTAGCTTTGACACAAAGTAACTGTGTTGAAGCCATTTGCTGTGTCAGGCTCAACAAAATTCAATCCCCTTGAGTAAACCCTTTCTCAGACTGCTAGGTTGGCAGTACATAAGGCTTTCTTTGACGCACCAATTTACACACATTTCTTTTGTGCATGTGTGACTGAGTGTTTGTCAGAGGTTATATGTGTGTCCCTGCAGGCTACTTCCCCTGATCAGCCAATGCCCAGGGAGTGCTTAAAACACAACTCAGTCATGGCTATCGTGCAGCCCTAAGAGATGTCAGTCAATGTCACGGTGAAAAGTAGAACCACAGACACTTGCTACATAAATTTTCCATATCTTTAATGCATTATTATTCATTTTAAATGCCTTACATTATTAATTATAGTCCAACAGTAGAGGAAAAGGAAATGATAG